GTAACACAGACTGCATCATTAAAGACAATACCAAGATAAGGAAGAAACATATTTGTCTTCCCGTAGGTGCAATTTGTCCCAACATGAGTAAGCCTGTGAACTATCGATGTAGAGCTGAGGAACATCTTTCAGCAGGTTCACTTCCATTACTGAGATAATTAACCCTACTATTAGCAGCTCTGACCTTTCACTTCTGCTCCGTTAAAGCTGGGAAAGTGTGCCGTAAACACGGACAGTCCTTTCACCTAAGAGCATGTAAAAGGTCGGAGGGTGTGGCCGAAGTGCAGATGAACTAACTCTCGGTTCTTTCTTCTTCTTTTTTTTCTCTTAGAACCTGCTGGTCAATCACGGATGAAGAGTGACAGGAAAAGGGTAAAAGTGTTACTGACGTCGGCTTTCACTTTGGCACTAGGAGCAGCACTTGTCGCTTTCCTGTTTGGAATTATGAGAGAGATTTGCTGTTAGCATGCCATGTTTTAAAAGAAAAAAGTTCTTATTATGCTATTTATCTGCGGTATCAACCGGTAAAGTTGCTTTATTATTCTGCACTGTTATATTCTACAGGGAAAGCTTTTCGAAAGAGAAATGAGTGAGTATTAGATTTATGGTCGGAGTCAGTACACTTTCAATTCAGTCATTCACAAGATCAGCGGAAAGTATTTCTGAGATGTGTGCTGTGAAGATCATTCAGGGTCAACGCTCCATCATCTGAATGTGAGATTCAGTTTTCGTCCAAACCTCTGCTTCCTTTGACGGTATGAAAAGGAAGGAAATCATTTCAGGTGTGAGATGAAGAGTGCATAGGGACCGTCATTGTTTCGATTTTTGACTGAAAAAGAAGAACTGATTCGGTTTTATGGCTTTTGAGTTTTTTGGTTTTATATTTTTTTAACAACACAGGAATAAGCTCAGGTTATCCTGGCCATGACTTAAATCCACCAAACCTGTGATGTATTGTATGATTTTATTAAACCATTCATATCCGGTACAGTATGTGTCTAAAGTTCTTTCTTTCACACTATATTTCCCCTTATATGTATACTTACACTTATTTGTTTTCCTTTTTGCAAAAATCAAGTATAATTGGTGTTTATCTTTTGATTACTAAAGAGCAATGAACATACCTACATGCACCTCAAAACTCTCACCTAACCTATGCTAATTTGTATGGCACAGGTTGAGTAGTTCAGGTATATGAAGGTGTTTGTGAATTAGATCATCTATTAAATATGCAGGTACAGACAAAGCAAAACATTCAAATTTGACATTTTATAAATACTTACACAACAGGGTTCCCAGGGTCCTTGAAATCCTTGAAAGTGTCTAAATATTGGAAAATAATTGATTTTGAAAATAAATAGAAATTGGTCATTGAAAATGTATGTTGATTTGTGGCTCAATATGTGCCGTTTCAGATCCTTGATTTTAAGGAGAAATTATCTCGAAAGTCCATAAAAAGTCCTTGAATTTCATTTTAAAGAAGTTGTGGAAACCATGAACTACTTGTATGCAGAGGGTGCTAATAATGTGTTACACAGCATTAAACACTGTTTGATGAAGTAATGTAACCCATTGACTTACTGTTGCCTCCTCTAGTAGAGCTTTATAAAATTACTGCTGGAAACAAAAACTCCCACTACAGCTAGTTCACATTAAAAACTTTTAAGTGGTGAAACTGGTACTTTTTCTCATTCAGAAATAGTGAGTGCTATTGTGTGCACTATTATTGACCGAAAATGCTTCTACAACACTGTCAGTGGCCCAGTTTGAATAATTGCAGGCAATGTTGGAGCAGCCACACACTCTAAAAACGAATTGAGGCGACCTTTAACCTCCACTTAATTAAATGCATGGTTGCAAGATAAAAATGTGAGTTAATTGATTTAGATAAACATTTTAAGTTGCAAACATTCATTTATAAGTTGTGTTGACGTAATAATGTTGGTAATTACATCAACTTAATATTGTGTGTAATTTGAACTCTGATTTCTGCGTTAATTGACTTAAAACTAAATTCAAGTTGTAGTAAGTAATGCAATTGGCTTGATAACTTAATTGTTCTACACCTTGAGTTAAGGATTTCAAGTCCACTCCCACTTAACATGCCTGGACAAGTTTCGACAGTTAAGACAAATAGAAATATACAAAGGACCTTTTAAGGTGAGTGTCATCTTTTGTCATTCAAATACAGTAGATAGCCTTGTAGTTGCACTGTATAGGCAAATTGCTGTTTGACCAAAATTAGCAGCCTTTGAACTGTGAATAGTTCTGTGAGAGGGTACAACGTAGTAGAGGCTACTGTGAGAGTAAAAATACTTTGGTACTATTGTGATAGC